AAAAAGAAAAAAAGAAAAAAAAAAGAGTTTATTATCCCATCTAGGCTTCAGGTAAAATGATTCTAATAAGAAGGGCAGTTATTTATTCAACTCAGAAGAATTTAAAGAAAGCATAAAGCGTTTAGAGAGCAGTATTCATTTTCGGCCTTTGTTAGTCAACAAAACAAGAGGGTCTTGAGTCATAAAGAGAACAAAAGGTAACATCAGCTGCATATTGTGCCTGAATAATGGAGATTTCTTCAACATAAACTGATTGAAAACCATTTGCTTGGAAGTAGTGGAGTACATTTGATGATACTCAAGAAGAAGGAAATAGCCAGGCATAATTTTACAGAATAAAGTAAACTTTTCTTTCATTCCTCAAAGTAACATTTTTGGAGTGATATAAACACTTTAAAACATTATATACAAAGTAAATTCATACAGATAAATTACATATTTTAAAACTAGAAATATTTTCACATTAAAGCTGAAATTTTACATGATATGAATGCAATATTAATTACCAATGATTTGTTTTCTGGAAAGATTCTTTATTGTGTAAATGAATTCATCATGGACTCCAAATGTCAAACTCTGAGTGTATTAAAGATGGAATTTGTTGTCAGTCCTCCAGGTGTTACATAAGACTCACAGTCACATTTAGATGGCAGTATATGTGAAAGATGTTTAGGAGAAACAAGAGTCTGAAAGCCCAAAATATATTAAATAACTTTATTTAAGTAAAACAATAAAATCCTGATTGATTTGAAAGCACACTGATGCATTAACAATGTACTTTCTTGAAGAACTGGTCTCGAGAGATAATGCTTCACTGAAATAATTCAGAAAACTGACCTTGCGGTAAGTGAGGCAGATTCTCTTCCTGTCTGAATAGCATTTTATATGTTTAAGGAGCAATGCTGACAATCATACACATGCATCTGCATGCACACATTAGAAAAGATGGAGGAACATGTCTATCTAAGTTGTTGTTGGTAATCTGTGTTTCACCTCGGCGTAAATCTTTGAAATTAAATATGGGCAATTTTCTTTATGCAGATACTAGAGAAGGACTCTCCCAGCTTTTATTTGTGTGCCCTTTATCATTTCTTTATGGTTACAGTTATCTATGCTAGTATGGTATGCTGCACATAATTTAGATCAATTAATTCTGTTGACTAAAATACATCTTTTTTGATCCCATTTCCTGCATCTCACCACCACACCTTATCTTGTCTACTGTGCTTTTAACAGCTCTCAAATAAGAAATTTATCTTTGCATATTTAAACATCCTAGTCCTCACCCCATATCAAAGTTCCATTATTAAGAAGGCCTACACATTTTGACAATTTCAATATACTTATTAATGCCCACCTGCATGAAATAAGCTTTCCTGTACCCTTAGTTTTGTATTTTCCCCAGATATTTTGAATAAATCTTTTCTTAGTGATGTAGTGATTTGTATGGAGAATTGCATATTAGTGGAAAGTCTGACTAAATATATACATGGAATATATGAAGTCAGGCTACATGAAATTTATATTTTTCAGGTAAAAGTTGGTTAAATATCAGCAATTTGGTCTATTTCTGCCAATAAACAGAGGTCACGGCCCAGATGTACTGAAAGAGAGAAAATCATAATTGTTAGTGGAGATATCTTCTGAATTTCTCCTCACATATTCAGATTTGTCCAGACAATTACATAG